ATGGGTGCAGGAGCACGGCACTCATGGAGAATACAGCAGGCACTGCTGTTACTCCTCCAGTGCCCAGAAGTGATGAGGCTGCGGGGAGGGACAGACCTGTCTGTGCATCCCTTCCTGGGCTGGGGGATGCAGCCAGATCCAGCCTCCTGCAGTGACTTTGGCAGCAGTGCCTGCCCAGGGTGCCACCAGCACAGCCTGGCCACAGCTCCTGCGTGGGGCTGGAGCCTTCATCCCAGCCAAACCTGGTGCCCAGGCCGCCTAGCCCACCCCCAGGTTGATGTTCTTGTGACCAGAGGACTCTGAATGGGGCCCAAACCTAAGTAGGGCACCACCATCTTCATGGCCATGGCACTGCCTTGGCAGGAGCAGGGGACTGCTCTCCACAGGCAGAGAGGGACAGCAGGGTCACGGCTGCAGGCACGTGCTACTGCCCACTGTGTCCAGGCCCTGCTGGCAGCCTGGCCCAGGGCCCAGGATGCAGGAGGCAAAGCCCTGCCTGACCCCAGAGCCCTCGGACTGCAGCTCGGCCAGCAAGCGTGGCCGGGCACAGTGGGCACGGCCAGCTGCCAGCAGCTCCCTGGCCTGGCCCCAGCTGGCAGCACTGGGGTCCTGGGAGCAGCAAGAGAAGGCAGGGCTGGAGGCTGGGATGGACCTGGCAAGGCAGCAGGTGAGGGGCTGAGCCTGGCCATGGTGGGATCACTTGTGGAAGCTCTGGGGAGAGCAGGAGCGTTCGTGCCCCCTGGCTGGAGCTGGGCACCTGCCCAGCAGGGAGAGCCCAGCCCAGGGCAGAAACTTCTGGGCTGGTGGAGACACATCCAGCAGCAGCCCAGCACCCACAGAGGCTGTGCCCAGCCCTGCAGGCTGACAGAGCCCTGGGGCAGGGCAGGGCAGTGCCACAGCAGCGCCAGCCACCCCTGAAGCAGCACAGGCAGAGCAGAGCCGAGGCCGGAGCCAGCCCGGGGCCACGGTGGGCAGGGAGGCGAGGGCAGGGCCAGCCCTGGGCAGCCCCTCCCAGCTCCACACTGGGCTCCTGCCAGGCACAGGAGGACGTGCTGCCAGCAATAGACTCCATGACATCCGATAAAAATAACAGCAGGAACAGCTAAGCGGCCTGGCAGCGCCCCAGCAGCCAGGCAGGGGGGCACCGTGCCACCCCCCCGCTGCCACCAGGGCTGAGGGCCAGGGACTGCACCGTGAGGGGAGCCCCCAGCTCAGCAGGGCACCCCCAGAGCCCGGGGCTGTGCTTTCCCAGCATCCTGGGAGCAGGAGGGCAGGGGCAGCAGGGGCAGGACAGGGAGGCTGCAGCAGGAGGTGCAGCAAGCAGCACGCAGGGACCCCCCAGCTCCCGCCCACCCTCCCGTGCAGCACAGGCACTGCACAGCCCTGAGGACACATGGAACAAGCAGGACTCACTCTCCCACCACCCAGACAGCCCCAGGTGCGCTGGGGGAGGGAGCAGAGAGGGGCAGAGCTGCCTGGTGCCCCAGGGCTACAAATCCTCGGAGCAGCAGAGGCTCGAGCCAGCCCCGGGGCAGATTCATGGCACCTCACAGCTCCGCAAGCAGCAGCAGTGTGGGGAGATTCAAGGCCCTGTGCAGAGCCCTCTCCTCAGGCAGCACCTCTGTGCCTTCACTGCTGAGCACTGGCAACCACAGAAGAGCTGAGCTCTTGTGAATTCCAGCACTGCAGCTCAGCATCCACCCCCTCCAGGAGAGGGGGGCCCCAGGACAGTGTCCCCCCGGGTCTGGGTGTGAGGGGTGTGCTTCCTTACAGTCCCCATGGGAGCTCTGGCTCCAGCACAGAGCCCTGACAGAGATGTCCTGAGCTGGGAGCCCCAGCACAGAGCCCTGACAGAGATGTCCTGAGCTGGGAGCTCCAGCACAGAGCCCTGACAGAGATGTCCTGAGGCAGGATTGTTCCAGGGCCCCTCCCTGGTGTGACACTCGAGTCCGTGCTGAGCCCGGGGGATGGCAGCACCTCTTCCCCCTAAGACAGACCCCTGAGGCAGTGGGGAGCCCCTGCCGTGCCTCCCGCACGGTGACAGGGCCGGCACAGCGGGGCGGGGGGCCGTGCGGGGGAGAGGGGCTTGTGCCCGCGGCTGTGGCAAGGACGGGCGGCCAGGAGGGGCCTGTGCCGGGGCATGAGCGCCGGGGAGTGCGGGGCAGGGCAGGGCCGTGCTCCGGGGGCCGTGTGCGGGGCCGGGCCCGTCCCTTACCGGCTGTGAGCGCCTGCGCCGCCCCGGGTCGCCGCGCCAGCAGCCGCCCGCAGCCCCTCCAGAGCGCCGCCATGGCCCCGCGTGTCGCGGCGCGGTGACGCGTGTCGCGGCGCGATGTCGTGTCGCGACCGAGAGCGTTTATTGGTCAGTAGCGGCCCAGCACCGTGGCCAGCAGCGCCATCCGCATGTACATGCCGTTCTCCGCCTGCCGGAAGTACGCGGCGCGCGGGTCCGAGTCCACCTCCACGCTGCGGGGTGACGTCATCAGCGGGCGCCGCCCCGGGGTCCCCGTGCACGCCCTCGTCCCGGGACCCCCGGCACCCCCCGGGACCCCCCTGGAACCGGACCCACGGCAGTCCTGACAGCCCCGGACCCGGCTGCACCGCTCAGCGGAGCCTGTCCCCCAAGCCCGGCAGCAGCTGCAGCGCCCGTGGCTCCGAGCTCTCCCCAGCGCACCGCGGTGCTCCTGCCCCTGACCCCCGGTGCCTTCCCAGACACCCCCGGCACACCGCAGCTCCGTGACAGTGGCCCAGCAGCCCCAGGGACCCCTCTGCCCCAGGGACCCCACTGCCCCAGTGACACCACTGCCCCAGGGACACTGCCCCAGAAACCCCACTGCCCCAGAGACCCCACTGCCCCAGGGACACCACTGCCCCAGGGACCCCACAGCCCCAGGGACCCCACTGCCCCAGGGACACCACTGCCCCAGGGACCCCACAGCCCCAGGGACCCCACTGCCCCAGGGACACCACTGCCCCAGGGACCCCACAGCCCCAGGGACCCCACTGCCCCAGGGACACCACTGCCCCAGGGACCCCACAGCCCCAGGGACCCCACTGCCCCAGGGACACCACTGCCCCAGGGACCCCACAGCCCCAGGGACCCCACTGCCCCAGGGACACCACTGCCCCAGGGACCCCACAGCCCCAGGGACCCCACTGCCCCAGGGACACCACTGCCCCAGGGACCCCACAGCCCCAGGGACCCCACTGCCCCAGGGACACCACTGCCCCAGGGACCCCACAGCCCCAGGGACCCCACTGCCCCAGGGACACCACTGCCCCAGGGACCCCACAGCCCCAGGGACCCCACTGCCCCAGGGACACCACTGCCCCAGGGACCCCACAGCCCCAGGGACCCCACTGCCCCAGGGACACCACTGCCCCAGGGACCCCACAGCCCCAGGGACCCCACTGCCCCAGGGACACCACTGCCCCAGGGACCCCACAGCCCCAGGGACCCCACTGCCCCAGGGACACCACTGCCCCAGGGACCCCACAGCCCCAGGGACCCCACTGCCCCAGGGACACCACTGCCCCAGGGACCCCACAGCCCCAGGGACCCCACTGCCCCAGGGACACCACTGCCCCAGGGACCCCACAGCCCCAGGGACCCCACTGCCCCAGGGACACCACTGCCCCAGGGACCCCACAGCCCCAGGGACCCCACTGCCCCAGGGACACCACTGCCCCAGGGACCCCACAGCCCCAGGGACCCCACTGCCCCAGGGACACCACTGCCCCAGGGACCCCACAGCCCCAGGGACCCCACTGCCCCAGGGACACCACTGCCCCAGGGACCCCACAGCCCCAGGGACCCCACTGCCCCAGGGACACCACTGCCCCAGGGACCCCACAGCCCCAGGGACCCCACTGCCCCAGGGACACCACTGCCCCAGGGACCCCACAGCCCCAGGGACCCCACTGCCCCAGGGACACCACTGCCCCAGGGACCCCACAGCCCCAGGGACCCCACTGCCCCAGGGACACCACTGCCCCAGGGACCCCACAGCCCCAGGGACCCCACTGCCCCAGGGACACCACTGCCCCAGGGACCCCACAGCCCCAGGGACCCCACTGCCCCAGGGACACCACTGCCCCAGGGACCCCACAGCCCCAGGGACCCCACTGCCCCAGGGACACCACTGCCCCAGGGACCCCACAGCCCCAGGGACCCCACTGCCCCAGGGACACCACTGCCCCAGGGACCCCACAGCCCCAGGGACCCCACTGCCCCAGGGACACCACTGCCCCAGGGACCCCACAGCCCCAGGGACCCCACTGCCCCAGGGACACCACTGCCCCAGGGACCCCACAGCCCCAGGGACCCCACTGCCCCAGGGACACCACTGCCCCAGGGACACCACTGCACCAGCGACACCACTGCCCCAGTGACACCACTGCCCCAGAGACCCCACTGCCCCAGGGACCCCACTGCCCCAGGGACCCCACTGCCCCAGCACCACTGCCCCAGGGACACCACTGACCCAGGGACCCCACTGCCCCAGCACCACTGCCCCAGGGACCCCACTGCCCCAGCCGCCCCAGAGCCCTCCCACAGCCCCCATGCCCCTTCTGCCCTGTATATTTCATACCCGTTCTCCCAGACACCTCCCCAGACACTCCCTCCAAACTCCCGTGTCCCCCAGCACCCTGCAGCCCCCCAACACCCTGCAGCCACCCGTCCCCACCTGATCTCGTTGACACGGGGCAGGGGGTGCATCACCACCATCCTCTCCTTGGCCCGGGTCATGATGCGGGGTGTGAGGATGAACTGCCCGAAGCACTGAGGGGACACGGAGCCCTGAGCTGGGGCAGGCCGTGCCCAGGCCCCGGGGGGCAGCAGGAGCCAGGCTCCCCTCACTCACAGCCTCGTACTCCTCGGCCCGCTGGAAGCGCTCCTTCTGGATGCGGGTCACGTAGAGCACGTCTGTGTCCGGCAGCGCCTCCTCGATGCTCCCAAACTCCTCCTGCGGCAGCACCGTGAGGTTGGGAGGGGACACGGGGACAAAGAGAGCGGGGGCCAGCCCCCCACCCTGCTCCTCACCTGCTGGATGCCCCGGGAGGCCACGAAGCTGGTGATGTCGGGGGGCATGCGGAGCCCGGGAGGGGCGACGTAGCGCAGGTTGACGCGGTACTGGGTGAGCAGGCGCGCCAGGGAGTGCACCGTGCGCCCGTGCTTCAGGTCACCCACCATGGTGATCTGGGGACAGCGGTCAGCCAGCCTGCCCAGGCCCCTCGGGGGGTCTCAGAGCCCCCCGAGCAGCCGGCCGTGCCGCCCGGCCCCTGCAGCTCACCGTCATGCCGTTGACTGTGCCCAGCTCCTCGCGGATGGTGAAGATGTCCAGCAGCGCCTGCGTGGGGTGCTCGCCCACCCCGTCCCCGGCGTTGATCACCGGCTTGCGGCAGTGCCTGGCGGCCAGCTGGGAGCACCGGCAAGGCAGGGCAGGTGAGCGCAGGCAGCACGCAATTCCCACGGCCCCACGGCAGCAGGAGCCCACCGCGGCCCAGCCGGGGACCACGTCCCTGCCCGTAGGGCAGCCACCGTCCCTGCCCTCGCGGCAGAGTCCCCGGCGCCTCCGGAAGAGGAGGCAGCTTCCCCCAGCCCCTCTCACCTCGACAGCGCCGGGCTGGGGGTGCCGCAGCACCAGCACGTCGGCGTAGCAGCACATGGTCTGCACGGAGTCGGCCAGCGACTCGCCCTTCTGCACCGAGGACGTGGCCTCGGAGAAGGACAGCACGGAGCCGCCCAGCCGGCTCATGGCTGCTGCGAAGGAGCTGCTGGTGCGCGTGCTCACCTCGTAGAACATGCTGGCCATCACCTTCCCCTGCAGGGCCGCGCTGTCAGCTCGGGGAGCCCGGCACCCCGCCCGGGACGGGGCTCCCTCGGGGTGCCCAGGGGCACGGCTCACCTTGAGGATGTCCAGGCTCCGCTCCTTCTGCACCAGCATGCGCAGGGTGTGTGCCACGTTGAACAGGTGGGACAGCTGCGGGGACAGGCGGCACCGGGGCTCAGCGGGGGCACGGGAAGCACCACAGCACCCACGGCCCCCCGCCCGCCCGGCCGGGCACCTGCTCCTTGGAGAACTGCCGCACGGAGAGGACGTGCTGCCCGACCAGGGGGTGCAGCAGCGGGGAGGTCTGGAAGTGGGGGGCGCGCTGCGGGGACGCCTGGCGCGGGACAGGGCCCAGCGGGTGGAAGTGGCTGTCCTGGACCACCGCCGAATCTGTGGCACCGAGAGTAGCCGGTCAGCCCACGGGGGTGTCCTGAGGAGCCCAGCCACCAGCCACAAACCCTGGATCCCCACCGTGGGCCCCCGCTGCACTCACCTGGTTCCGCTGCCTTCCTGCTGCCCTTCTCACGAGCGTCCTCAGCTGGGTGGGAGAGGGGAGCAGTGGTGTTAGGGGTTACGGGGAGAGGCGGCACCCCAGTCTCAGCATGGCCCTCCTGGCACTCGGCCACACCAGGTGAAACCAAGATGGGCCTGACACCAGGGCGATGGTGAACCAGACAGGCAGTCCAAGCCCCACGCTGTGCTGCGACCCTCTCCCTGCACACCCCGCAATTCCCACTGGCCACCCCCCAGTTCACACTGGCCGTGAGGGGTCCCCGAGGTGCCGTGCAGGCTGGGGCAGGAGGGGAGCGGGCGGCACGGCCGTGCCCTGTCCTCCAGCACCCAGTCCTGGTGCTGGGTGCCAGCAGGGGCCCATGGTGGGCACGCAGGCAGCCCGGGGCCTGCAGGGCACCTGGGGGAGGGGATGCACTCATGGGCTGCAGTTGGTGCCAGTAGTGAGTCCCCCCCGACATTACCGGTGCCTCGGGCGCCCGGGCGGTGCGCGGCTCCCAGCCTCCGGAATGCTGAACGGGACACAAGGGCTGGCGTCAGCGGGGCCACCCAGCCACGGTCCCAGACCCGGCCCCCAGGCAGCGTGCCCTGCCCGCTGCCCGCCCACCCCCCTACCTGGCAGCTCGGGGTCCGAGGCCCGGTGGATGCGGGGCGGCAGGTGGAAGCGTGCGTCACCCGCGGGGCCGGGCCGGCGCGGGCTGGGGGCTCGCCCGCGCAGCACGTCACCAGCCACGTGCCGCGGCTGCTCGGGGGTCTGAAACGAGAGACCAAGCTGGAGCTAGGGCAGAGAGGGACCCCCTGCCAGCTGTGTACCCCCCAGTACCTTCACAGTCTCCTTGCTGGGGGCACCATGTGGCAGCAGTGCAGCTCCTGAGGTCCACTTCTTCACATCCTGCCCATAGCCAGGGGGCACCAGCACCTGCAGCCATGGATGGGATTAAGGAAATGGGGTCAGCACTGGGAGACCCCCTCTGTGATGGGGGCACCCTCTGTGACCCCTCTGTGATGGGGGCACCCTCAATACAGGAAGAAAAGGACCCAGGACCTCACCTGCCCATCGATGTAGGCAACCTCCCCACGCAGGACGACCCTCCGCACCGTCCCCTTGACCTGCATGCCCTCAAAGGGGGTCCAACGGGCCTTGGAGAAGACTGTGCTGCTGGGGATGATCCATTCCTCCTCCAGGTCCACCTGCCAGGACAGCGGGTCAGAGGCAGAAGGGTGGGGGCTGGACCTGGGGCGGGTGGGCACGGACACACCTCCACATAGGTGTCCTCCTGCGCTGGGAGCCCAAAGATCTTGCGAGGGTTCTCATAGAGGCGCTGGACGATGTCCTCCACGCTGAGCCTCCCCTCGGAGACAGCCGTCAGCAGCAGCGGCAGCATGGTCTCCAGGCCAGGGTACCCAGGGGGAGCCTCCTGCCCCTGCTTCTCCTCCAGCGTGTGGGGAGCTGCAGGATGGGGCTGGTCACCGGGGCCGTCCCCACCGCTCTCCCCGCCCCACGGCCACCATCCCTTGGGACTGACCGTGGTCAGTGGCAAAGCAGTCGATGATGTCCATGTTCTCCCAGAGCGCCTCCACGTCCTGGCGGGTGCCCAGCTCCGGCCGCACGGCCGCACGGCCCTTGCCCAGGCGCCCCAGGTCGTCCTGGCTCAGGAAGAGGTGGTGCGGGGCCACCTCGCACGTCACCGGGATGCCCCTCTGCTTGGCCGCCTTGATGAGCAGGATCTGGGGCAGGCGCGGTTAGTGGGGAACCCACGGGGCCCCGTGCTCCATCCCTGGAACCCAGGGCTCGCCCCGCTCACCTCCTGCCTGCGGGCCACGTGGCAGATGTGGACAGGGCGCTGGTACAGCTGGGCCACCATCAGCACGGCGGCCACCGTCTGCCGCTCCGCGTGCGCCACGATGGGCAGGTGCCGCGGCCACTGCTCCAGGTGCTGCAGGAACGGGGCTGGTGGGCACCGGTGCCAGGAGCAGGCCTGCCCCGTGCCAGCCCTGCCCTCCTGCTCACCTCCATCCACAGCAGCACGTCGTCCATCCGCAGGCTGGAGAAGGTGTCGTTCAGGTACATCTTGAGCCCGGCGGCTGCCCCAGCCAGGGGGCCCAGAGTGCCAGCATTGTCCAAGGAAGCCCCCAGGAAAAGGGCAAAATCGCAGCGGGCTCCAGCCTCAGCCAGCTGCAGGACGAGAGGTAGTGAGTGCTGTGGTGGGACCAGTACTGCCACCAGCAACGAGCCCACCACAGACAGCGAGCCCAGCATGGCTGGCACAGGAGGAGGGGATGTGAGCACCAGGCTGGCAGCAGCTCCTCACCTTCTGTGCCAAGGCGAAAGAGGTGGCATCGGTGACAGCAGGGCTGGTGTTGGGCATGGCACACACCATAGTGACACCCCCGGCCAGGGCAGCTGCCGTGCCCGATGCAAAGTCCTCCTTGTGGGTGCCACCCGGCTCACGGAGGTGGACGTGGACATCGATCAGGCCTGGGGAGTGTCAGCGTCAGCACTGGCAGCTGCTGGCCGCAGGGGACACGAGGGACAAGGGCCATCCTGCCAGTGCAGCATGGAAACAGCTCTGCAGCGCCTGCAGATGTGCCCAGCCCGGCTCCCAGCACTGTCCCTGTTCTGTGCTGTGCCCTGGGGCCACTGAACACCCACCTGGCAGACGGATGAGCTTCTGGGACGTCATGCAGTCCACGTGCATCTTCAGTGGAGGGGCTGCCCCAATCTGGCCCAGTGCCTGCAGAAAGAGCAGCCACGAGACAGGACCCAGGGTCAGGGTGATGATCCTGTCTGAGGAGCCCCCCAGAAACAACCCCTGCACAGTGACACCCACACACAGAGCCTGCCCCGCAGCACCCACAGCAGGACTTCTGCAACCCTGCTTTGCTCCCTTTCCCTGCACCCATGGTCCCCAGGTGCCCGAGCCCACCTCTACGAAGAGCTTCGTGCACTTGATGTCGATGATGAGGGGCACAGAGTAGTCGACAGCCTGGCGCCGGGTGCGGTAGCCCTTGGTGACAAAGGAGGAGAGCCGGCGGCCCCCCGAGTTGCGCATGGAGAGGTTGATGACCATCTCAAAGTGGTTCTCGGCCAGGTAATCCAGGATGCTGCGCTGGGTCTCCCGGGCACCGGCCTCACTGCTGTCTGCCTCCTCGAAGTGCCAGTCCACAGCCTTCACCTGCAGGCAGTGACCCCCATCAGGGCCCTGCAACACCCCGGGAGTGACCCCGGCCCCGCAGGCCCCCAGCCCTGACCTTGATGCCATGCTCGGTGTAGAAGTCGGCGGTGCCAAGGCTGGCATACAGGTTGTAGCCGAGGCTCTCCAGCGTCCGCACCGTGGGCAGCAGCTCACTCTTGTTCTGAAACGAACCGGGGGCCGGTCAGAGGGCGGAGAGGGAACCCCGGCCTCGCAGCACTTTGACCCCACGTACCTTGTAGCTGCCGATGGTCAGCAGAATGTTCTTCTTGGGGATCTTGAAGCCGGTGCTGAGCATGGCCTTCAGGTACGCCTCGCAGCGGTTCTCCCCAAAGCAGGCAACCTCGCCCGTGCTGGTCATCTCCACACCCAGCACCACGTCAGCGCCCGCCAGGCGTGAGAAGGAGAACTGGGGCACCTGGGGGCAAGGGGACGCTCAGGGGCTGCCTGGTCCTGCACCCCAGCCTGGCCCCAAGGCCCCCGCTCACCTTGACACCAACGATGCCTGTGCCTGTCATCAGCCCCACGGGCTCCACATCCTCACCCATGATCACCTGGCTGGCCAGAGCCACCAAGTCCACGCCCAGGGTCTTGGAGACGAAGGGGAAGGAGCGGGAGACGCGAACATTGCACTCAATGACCTTCAGCTGGTCATCCTGGGAGAGAGGGGACAGGATGAGGCAGGGCTGGGGATGTGGGCTGCTCTCCCCTGGCCGTGCGGCCCCCAGTCCCAGGTACCTTGGCGATGAGCTGCAGGTTGAAGGGCCCTGTGACCTGCAGCTCCTGCCCAATGGCGTGCACAATGGCCTTGATGCGCTCCAGTGTCTTGGGGGTGATGTCCTGCGGGGGGGTCACCAGTGTGGCATCACCCGAGTGCACCCCAGCATTCTCCACGTGCTCGGAGATGGCGATGGCCACCACCACACCGTCGCAGGCCACCGCGTCCACGTCGATCTCCTGTGAGCGGGAACACGGTCACAGCCAGTCCCTGGGCTGGGGGCCGGGGCTTTCAGCGGGCATCCCAGGGCTGGAGCAGCCTCCTGGACGGACCTTGGCCTCCTGGATGAACTTGGAGATGACAACAGGCTGCTCCTTGGACACAGCCACAGCGTTGCTCAGGAACTTCTCCAGATCGCTGTCGGAGTACGCCACGTTCATGGCAGCCCCGCTGAGCACGTAGGACGGGCGCACGACACAGGGGTAGCCCACCTTGCAGCAGAAGTGCTTGGCGGACTGCGGGAGAGACGGAACTCAGCGCCCACACGGACAGCCGCCCTGGGGCGGCCCTCTCCTGTTCGCTGGGCCCCACCTCCATGTTGGAGAGCTCCTTCCAGAGGGGCTGGCTGATGCCGATGGAGTCCAGCAGGCGGGAGAACTTGAAGCGGTTCTCGGCCGAGTCGATGGCCTCCGGGGAGGTGCCCAGGATGCGGCACTGCTGCCGGTGCAGGGCCATGGCGATGTTATTGGGCAGCTGCCCGCCCATGGACAGGATCACACCCTCAGGGTTCTCCAGCTCGTAGATGTCCATCACCACCTGCAGCACCGTGGAGGCAGGGGAATGGCTGGGACGGAGCCATGGCAGCCCTCACCCAGCCCTGCAGCTGTCAGGGCCCAGCCCCCTCACCTCAAAGGAAATCTCGTCGAAGTAGAGGCGATCACACATGTCATAATCGGTGCTCACTGTCTCAGGGTTGTAGTTCACCATGATTGTCTTGAAGCCCATCTATTAGGGGTGGGACAAGGTGAGCCCAGAGCCCCCAACCCCTACCCAGCCTCATCCTCTGACCAGGGACACCCACCCCTCACTCCACAGGGTGCTGGGGCCCTGTTGTGGTGCACTAGTTTTAGTTGTTCTCTTGCACCGGGCGATTGGGAATTTGCAGAGAATAGTTTTATACTGCACTGTATAGCTTATGTTCTATCATGTGGTTTGTTATCTCTTTTCCCCACCACACGGTTTTTCCCTCACCCACCCCAGTACCTTCTGGTGGTCTCTCCCCTGGGTTACCCCTCCCCTCACCACTCCTCACTGGCATCCCATTGGCTGTTGACCTCTCCCTCTGTCCCCATCCCCCAGGGAATGTTCTCTTTCTCCACCTGGTGTGTCTCTTGGAATAAAGGAGAACATCTCCCACGTGGAGAAGAGCGCTTCTCAATCTTTTACCCTTTACCTCTACGAAATATCGTGTGGGCAAGGGTCCATAGCTAGCTGGAGTGGACCCCAACAGCCCGCCAGAAAATTCGGGGGTTTGTTATCTCTTTTCCCCACCACACGGTTTTTCCCTCACCCACCCCAGTACCTTCTGGTGGTCTCTCCCCTGGGTTACCCCTCCCCTCACCACTCCTCACTGGCATCCCATTGGCTGTGGACCTCTCCCCCTGTCCCCATCCCCCAGGGAATGTTCTCTTTCTCCACCTGGTGTGTCTCTTGGAATAAAGGAGAACATCTCCCACGTGGAGAAGAGCGCTTCTCAATCTTTTACCCTTTACCTCTACGAAATATCGTGTGGGCAAGGGTCCATAGCTAGCTGGAGTGGGCCCCAACAGCCCGCCAGAAAATTCGGAATTTCAGGGCCCGCCTGACCTTGCGGAGCTCCTGGATGCAGCCCACAGCACACCAGTCAAACTCGACACTGCTGCCGATGCGGTAGACGCCGGAGCCGATGACCATGACGTGGGGCTCGCGGAAGGCCAGGTCGTGCTCAGAGCCGTTGTAGGTCAGGTACAGGTAGTTGGTTTGGGCTGGCCACTCCGCCGCCACGGTGTCGATCTGCTTCACCACCGGCAGGATCTTCAGGTCGCGCCGCATCTTCCGCACGGCCAGCTCGGTGCTGCACAGAGCTGGGTGAGCGCCAGGACCGAGGCAGGGAGCACGACAGAGCCGTCCCCTCCCCGTCTCACCTGAGCACGGCCTGGGCCACCTGCTTGTCGGAGAAGCCGAGCTGTTTGGCGCGCTGGAGCACGGC